CACTATTAATATAAATCATCATCTTCATGAACAAATGAGAAAGATTCAAAACAGTGGTTCCCTTTGATAAATTTGAACAGAGAAATGAGAAGACGTATTTTGTGAGATAGTACCATTTCGTGCTTTCTCGTCAGTCACATACAAGCAACATGTTATTTGTGTAAATAAAGTTTTGAAGATAAGGTCAAAATTTCTTATTTAGCATGACATTCACTCACTAGAACCATGGTAAACAAAGGTCAACATACAGTTGTTTTTGAACACATAAAGTTGGACTTTTACGACCAATCAAGATAGCTTCAAGTAGCTTCAGTGTGTGGGTTTGGATGACATGTTACAACTCTAAAGGCTGATGTTGGGTCAATTTGATGGCCACTCATCATTAGATGTTTTGCAATGGACGAGGCTGGGTTTCTTGATCGATTTTGAGATGACGGGCTAGGTTGAGGTTGATGAATCATGGATTTGATTAACCATCTTGGAATATGTTCCCCTATCCTGTCTTCCAATCGGCGATCTGTCCTACCTAAATAACTTTCTCCGCAGTTACATATGAATTGGTAAATACAGTGGGATTTGGACTGGATCGGTCTTGGAGACTTAATTAGGGTAACTGAGATCGATTGAGTTGTTGTGATAAGCCTCAGATTAGCTGCATTGAAGGTCATTTTTATTGCAGCTGCAGTCTGTTTGGTTGTAATTTTCATGCAATGATCACCCTTGAAAGGTAACTGTAGGTACACTGGTTTCTTGGGCACATCAGTTGCTATCAGTTTCGTCGAAGTTGTGTTCTGATGACCAATAAACGTTTCGGGATATCCGTTTAATTTCAGTGTCTCAGTAATAAGCTTAAATTCGTCGTTCAATGTATCAGCAGTGCAGATTCTACTTGCTCGAGCGAATAAAGTTTTGACAACAGAACGTTTATATTGTATGGAGCAGAAACTAGTGAAGTGGAGGTACTGTCCCGACCAGGTGGGTTTGCGGTGTACTTTTCGTCTGATTGATCCGTCTGGACGGCGATGGAGCAGGATATCTTCAAAACTGTATTTACACAAATAACATGTTGCTTGTATGTGACTGACGAGAAAGCACGAAATGGTACTATCTCACAAAATACGTCTTCTCATTTCTCTGTTCAAATGAGAAAGATGTTTTCTAACAACATTTGTACCAGGTTTCAGTTAAAAATCGAGTAACAAATATGAAACAAGCAAAGAAACAGGAAACATATTAGAATACTTATGACTGATTTAGTTTAAAATATAACTAACTGATTGACTTAACGATGACCTTTTCCACCATGGTATTGCATTGTCTACTGGAACGAATGTCAAATCGTGTATGATACGACCTTTTAACAAACTAATATCCTGCTTATTACCAGTTGTTTTGACAAAAGCATTATGACCAAATCTTGATATGAAATCCTCACTGTGAATAATCAGCTGTTTCGGATAAGACTGAACTACACTCGAAATATGTTTTTCACTATTCGGGCAAATTGATTTATATGCAATAGATCGATAAACAGGTTTAAGCGCCTTCTTCTTTGAATTATTCAATTCTAACGGTTTTAATATTTCATTACAAACTGGATTAGTTATTCCAGTTTGACATACATAATTCTTATAGTTTAATAAATTAGATGTTGAATAAGAGGACTTTATAGGAAGAGTATCAATCGTATTGCAAAGACTTGTATAAGCTGGTTGTGTGATTAGATTTAATTTTCTTAAAGATTGAAAGTATGGTTTATAAGTGAATAAATTTTTATCCAGATCATAACTTCGTCTTCTCTTCTCCATGCATACTTCCGATGAATTGCTTACATAATCCTTTTTGATAAGATGATTTTTATCTGAAGTATTTTGAAAGTGTTCATTTAGATGAGAAATTGATGTCTTTGGATTATACTGATTGATACATTTTGATAGTTTAGTATTTAATGAATCGGTTGAGTGGCTATGAGGACAAAGTGAACACTTATCATTTGTACACCAAAATGGTGAGTGCATATAATTACATGGAGGATGTGCTGTTTTATTATCCTCATTTATATAGTTTAATGACCATAATGAATTAAATGAACATGGTCTAAGTCTATACGAATCCCAAGGACGAAGCGATGTTTTCAGGTTTGTTCTATCAACACTTACTGGTCTTTGAATAGTCCTATTTTGTATAGGTGAGGCATATTTCGTATTGCTTTTGGTACTTGCTGGAATACTCGCAATTTTAGCTACTTCTGTTACACAGCCGTTATTTCTCAAGGAATTGGATCTTTTATACCATTCTCTAGCCATTCGAATTCTTTGTATACGTGGTGTATTTGTATGAGCGTTTATGTCGTCCCAGGATTGAGGACCAGGAGGATAAAATGGAGGTCTGTTAGACAAGGATCCAAGTGAATTGGATCTTTTTACAGTACTTTTATTTGCTTGGTTAACAAAACTGGTATTTCCTACTAATTTGTAGTAAGTCAGTGGATGAGGTGCAGAATATTTGGGTGGATGTCTTGTTCTGGATAGATTTCGATAATTATTATTTATTCGAGATTTTGGAATTTCTGAATTAACCAGACGTTTTCCTATTTTATTATTATTATTTGTTGACTCATCTTCAGTTTGCACGACTGAAGTACGAATGGATCCATGATTTACATTATTCAATCCCACTCCTTTGCCTGTTTTGCAATATTGTTCTGTGTTTTGTGAATTATTTGAAAACATTTATTTTGGTGGTATATTATCCACTACAATGCATTTCAATATTTTCATATTTAAATACAATATAATGATTCGCCTAAATAATCCTTCATTTTATATAGTCAGGATAATAGTAGACATATTTCAGTGAAAATCAATAAACAACAGTAGTAAGCAATCAATATTACCTAAACCCATGAACATATTACTTCGGCAAAATATTATGGGACAGCGAGTACTGATTAATTTAAGATTTTTGACAGGATAATAAAAGCACATTAACTAATGATTAGAAATATTGTTCATAAGAATTAATAAGCTTGAAAAGTAAGACATGTGAAGCGATATATCTGACTGTTATAGTAGTTAAAGGACATTTGTACTGAGTTAAGTCACTAGTGTACACAGAGTATACGTATTCAAAACTAAGGCATTTGAAAGTTATTTAGTTTAGGTAAAAAGTATGAATATACAAAATGATTTGAGGAGATATGCTATTCAAAGTAGATTACTCTAGTATGAAATTAATCTTTATTCATTTTTTTATACTAAACGTTCACAGGTGTAATTTGTAAGAAAGATCAGATTCTGTTTTCGGATTCAAACTCTAAGTAAACTAAGTAGGTGATGAATAATACAATGAAAACTAATTATGCGATCATTCAGTAATCACTAATGATCATATCTGTTTAAAATAAAATGTAAGCTTAGTTTTAAATGATGAATTGCCAAGAAATACTATTATATAATGAATTGGATATACTACTTATATCAGTAGTGAGGCATAATGCACGTATCGAATTGAAAAATAATGTAAATAAAGATATTTTAGGCATTCACACTTAACAGTCTCATAAAAAATGTAGCTGAAAATGCTTTTGACTTTGACAAAGCTAATCGAAAAGTCAGTTACAAAAATTTCTTGTGCTATAAAATATTACAAACAAAATTGATCACATTGACCAGGTTTATAAAATGAGTGGATTACTTACATTTAAAAGTTTTATAATAAACTACCATTGAGTAGAAGTACTTTGTAATTATACTGAATTGATAATTCATAGATCTTATTGTATGCTAAGAGTCAGAATGTATGGTATCAAAATAGATTTCAATACTTTAACTGATAAACACATATATAGTATCAATGAGCAGATGCTTTGTTTCTCCGAATATGATATCAGAGATGTCGCAGTTTTAGAAATTTTCAAACTAATCCGTTTAATACAACGTAAGTTTGGCTGGTAGAGAAACGTAGTTGATGAACTGAATGAAAACTGTAAAAATTTATAACTGCTGATCAAACTACTCAGCTTCTCAACTGTTTCAAGAATCAAGTTTTGGTGAAATCGTTTTCACAAAAGTCAAAATATTTCTTCAAAGTATATTTACTAAACAATACAATACTAATCATGCAATGAAGTATGCACTGAACTATTAACAAAAAAGAAGTTATTTACCAACTAATAATCAATTCACTATCATACTTTTTCTTCAGTACAACGATTATCGATTGTATCAAAGTACTGGTAAAAAAAACTTCAAAAAAATACGATGGTTATACAAAATTAAATAAACCTTTCGTAAGAGATAAAGACTTTGTTCAACTATAGAAAAATAATGACAGATTGAAATTTTTATGAACATTTATGATATTATCAACATGCCTTGTAAATTTCTGACGATAAAAGAAGGAAATAATTATTTCCTTAATATATGACCGAATTTTTCGATGAAACAATATTATACAGATATCAAAACCCACATGTCTCAGGATTAGAAAACGTTCTCTGATTGTTGTATATATTCTTTATCATATTCTACTATCATTTAGGCTAATTATGTGACTAGTAGGTTATCAATAGTTCATATCGGTATGTTAATTTTAAAAGAACGAATAATGGTCTAAACGTACATGATATGAATTGTTTCGTAGGGTGTGACTAACGGTAATACCTTCCTGAAAAATGATCTATAAAAGGTGCAGCGAATGTCCACGATTCTGTGCTTCATAATACCTGTCGTCTGTTAGAGAATACTTGTTCAAAAAGCAGCTTAGTGTTTACATTTTATTGGTCCAAGTGATAACATGTATTACTGGCTAGTGTTGAGGAAACTCAACCACTATTGTTGTCAAGCTGTATACTCTGTGTGCTCACTCAAACTTTTTTCCCTTGACCGTTAAATGAATCATGCATTAAACTTAATAAACAAATCAATATTCACACAGTCTTCATACCTGTTTGTTACGCCTTACAAATTACAAAACAGACAATTCACATTTATACTCACCTTACTTCCAGTTTTAACAGTAGGCATTATTTAGTCAACAATGAAAATAATTTCGACAATTAAATGAAATAATCAGTCAATATTAGTGATGTAAATCAATAGTAAGCAATATGAAGTGATATTGTTGAAGATTCGAAAAATATGAGCAGTAATGGATAATTGATTAAGAGGAAAATTATGTCAAAACAGATTTCGTAGCTGTTAATACTTGTATGTATCGTTGATTTCGAAATAAATAACAATCCAACGGTAATAAAGTGAATTTTATCGAATGAATAATGGATTGGAAAAAAATAACTGAATTTGTTCAAACAGTAGTCACAGTAAGCTAAAAGGTGTAGTGTGATTATTAATATTACTTCTATTACCACTATTAATTAGCACTACTGTATTCAACTGATGCTAATAGCCGTATTCTAGTTGTGATTTCTGTCAAATAAAATACGGACTGATTGTGTAGAAGGCAGATTAGATTTCCATCCCCATTTCGTTTTAAACCTATCATGTTTTTCAACCATTACTATTTGCACCACTTTTATTGCTGCTGTTACTTTGACTTATTTCCCTAGCCTTGATGTTGTGCTGCATTTTAGCATAACGACAACCATGGCAATAATAAATATCAACAAATTAAAGAAGCGTCAATACTACCACCTACGCATTCATCTCGCCTACACAAATTTATGTGTGCTTACGAAATTATCAATACACGGGATTGTTCCTGACATACTAAATAATGATGGTTGAATTCTGTTTTGGACTATAGATGAACGCACACATATTGGTTGACAGTTAATATAGTTACACAAACACACATAAGAATACACATACACAGAATACGTGTATACATGGACAACATAGGTCACAAAATTTCGCATTTCTCGCAGTAATCTAAAAATAACTTCAGTTTCAGAGAAATATGGAACGATAATCTGTGTATCGATTGTTATTACGGTCAATAATATTTTACTATATACTTCCTACAGTGTAGAATGTTGATTATTTCTGGTTTATTACTCATCAGTAGAAGTTTATTTTTATTAACTGTTTATGTCATATTTTTCACCCTTGCTTTGTGCCTGTAAACTGATTCACTTCAGTTAGAATTCCTATTTACATTCGTTATTTTCTTAAACTAAATTATACGAAGCTAATAAATGAGTGAATAGGATGCTTGTTTAACTACATGTCTAAAAACCACTTACATTTAGTTAAATAATATTCATAAATCTATTTTAACTATTATGACTGAACAGAATGTTTAACCAGACGTGTTTCATAAGATGATATATATATATATATATATATATATATATATATATATATATATATAACAGAGTGATAAATGATAGGTTTGTGTCTCAGTGTAAACATCAAATACATCTAACTAATGGATCTCAAACAGAAAATAACCTTGCTAAGAAAACTCTGATAAGAAAAAATCATTCAAATAATTTGAACCCTGCACTGACAATTGAGTTGTCTTCATCTAGAACAGTTATGATGTCTCTTATTGAAAGATGAGGTTCTTCAAGAGTTATGAGACTAATTCCCTTTCTGAAAACCAGAATACAAATTAACATAAATACATAGTGTCCGCACAATAGGAGAGACCAGGAGGACAATTCAAGTAGCGGCGAAAAAAAGATACAACAAGGAGGCGCTTCGAAAAAAGGAAACGCATTGGATGCAAGCTGGAAATAAAAAGTCAGCTTCAGGAGAGATGCGGTTTTATTTCGGTCATGAAGAAGAAAGTGCCTCACATACATAAGCGTCACGTCGATGTTGTGTAAAGATGTGAAAAAAGCACTTAAAGGATGGGAATCTCATGGATCCAGGATCATCAAAGCATATTTCAAGACAGAAAGAAGGAATTACAATAAATACCATTCACTGCTATGCACCCATCAACGACAACAATGAAGACGATAAAGATCAATTCTATGAGAGGCTGAAGTCAATCGTCGAGCGACACCCGACAAAGGACTTGACAATCCTGATGGGAGACCTAAACGCCAAGGTGGAAATAGACAACATCGGATGCAAAGACATCATGGGACGACATGGACTGGGAGATATGGAATAGGAGAAAGGTTCGAAGACGGTGAGAGATTCGCAACTCTATGTGCCTTCAACAAACTGGTCATCGGCAGAACCACCACACAGACGCCTACAAAAAGCTACATGGATTTCACGTGATCACACTGCACAGAACCAAATTGATAACATCTGCACCAATAAATAGTTCAGAAAGACCATAGAGGATGTGGGAACCAAGGAGCTGACATAGTTTCAGATCACTACTTGGTAGTGGCCAAGATGAAAGTGAAACTCAAGCAGCACTGGACAGCTGGGCGAATAGCATCACAAAAGCATTACTTCAGGATACTGGCTAACTCAAAGAATTCGAGGCAGCTCTCCAGACCCTTCATGATCAAAAGAAGAGGAAACTGGAAAGTAATAACTTCAACATGTTATAAGGTTTCGGACCAAAAGAAGCAACATCATAAGGAATGGGTCTGTCTGGGTACTAGGGATAAGATTCAAGAAAGGAGAAATACGAAGTCAACAACCAATATCATCTGAAAAAGAGCAGAGAAAGCCAAGGCACAAGTTGAATTCACAGAAGGAAACAAACAAGTGAAGAGTAGCATCGGAGCCAACAAACGTAAATATGTGCAGGATCTAGCAATGACAGCAGAAAAGTCTGGAAGAAAAGGAAACATGAGACAACTACGTGATACAACGAAGCTTGCTGGAAATCAAAGTGAACCAGAATGACCAGTGTAAAGTAAAGAAGGTAAAGTAATCGTCGACATTCAAAAACAACAGAACAAGTAGATAGAGCACTTTGAAGGACTCTTGAAAAGACCAGCCACACTCGACCCATCTAACATCGAAGCAGCAACCGTTGACCTCCCAGTAGATGGTGATCCACTAGCAGTCGAAGCAATTAACAGGGCCATCAGACATCAAGAATGGCTAAGCATTAGGAACAAACAATATACTAGCTAAAAGCTGACCAAGGACCATCATCAGTAATCTACTATTGGAGAGAACATACCAGATTCCAGTGGAGGGAGAAGTCAAGAAAAGACTCCGGAAGTATATATAGGACACAGATTGTTGCAAGCATCAAGCTGCATCACGAGGAACCCTCACAGTCAAAAGAAATGAGGTAGACCGAGGAACACACTGCGCTGAGGATCGGAGACGGACATGAAAAGAATCTATAGCAATCGGGTAGAACTGGCAAGCAAGGCCCAGGATAGAGTAGGTTAGAGAACGTTTGTCGGTAGCCTATTCTGCATTAGGTAGCAGGCGTAAGTAAGTAAGCAATCAAAAGAGATCAAATTAGTACCCAATTAAATTAACATTTAACAATAGAAGTAATCTTAAATAAATTCAACATCTATTCATTGTCTGAATGAAGTAATATCAAATAATCATGCTGATGTGTGACAGTGTTACAAAAGTCAGAATATAAGTATTTCATTCTTGTATTATTTTATGCTTTTATTTACATAGGTGGTGATTGATGAAACATACTAAGGTTAACATTTTTTGAAAACACTTAAAAGCAAGTTAAATGTTTCATCGTAGACCGTTTCAAGTGGAAATACCACTGGCTACTTAGAGATGTTGATTACCGCTGTGCGTTATCGATACTTTAATGTGCTGAGCATTGAAAGTCATTTTCTAGTTTCAGTGGATAGAGTTGATATTTAAGGATGTCAATGATTTATTTAATTAGATTTTTGGGAAAGAATTTCTTACAACTTTCATTATAAAATGAGTAATGATCTCATATTCTCCAGATTCCATAGAGTCAGTATTTGGAAATTATATCGATGATGCATTCAACAACATGAAGTTTGCAGTATGGTTAGATAGTTATCTGATGTCATCTGTGATTAGATGTTAAGGCTTTCAGATGGATGCAAAGCTTTTGCATACTATCTTAAACGATTTAGCAAATATGCAGTACTAAAATGATCCAAATTAGAACAAAACAGCTATTCCATACTTAAATATTTTCGTTGACTTTCGAAACAATTGAAGGTTACTAACAAAACTATTCTGATATGTCCGATATTCTTGTAAAATATTTCAACCTCTAAGGTTGACGTAGTAAATGTAGTTAAGAACATTAACGGACTGATTAAAAATGGTTCTAAACTAATTAAGGTGTTTATAATACTTCGATTTCACTAACAGTGAAGAAGTAAATTGGACATTATATTTATGGCGTTTAAATCAAATTAATTTACCGTATGCTTATGACATATATCATTCAATTATTTGTAAACGATAATTATTTCTATAAACACCTATTTATCCAGATATTAATGTTATAAGAATATTTGATCGTATAAATTGAAAAAAAACATGAGATGGGCGATTATTGTTGAACTGAGATAAAATGCATAGTTTAAATCATATAACAACTGCAAGTAGTAAACTAACGAATTTCATATTTACATAAGTTAACTTTTTCAATATTCAGAATATGTTTTTATTGATTCTGAAAAAATGAATATCATGAAATTTATTGAAACTATTACGAATTGAACTTGTCTGCTATTTTCATCTTGTGTGTAAACAAATTGAATATAACTGATAATTATATCGCTGGATACCAATGCTGAAATACTATGGACCATGAAATAAGCGAGAAACCTTTAAATCAGAGAAAAAAAATGAAACAATGTTTAAACAGATAGAATTTAGACAAAAGAATCACAACAATAACAAAAAAACGGACAAGTATGTATGCTATTGTGTGTGTGAGAGAGTTAATTGATGACTAATATTATGGCTTCATGATGAATCCTCTTTTTCTAGGTAAAAAGGAAATGTAAAATGAAGAAAGTATTTTATTTTTGACAAATAATTAATTGATCGAATGGTTAAACCTTTATAACGTTAGATTATGTTATATTTTAGTTATTTATAATCGAGAATCAATTTGACAGTACAGAATTCATTCACTAGTTATGTCAAGATTGGTAAAATTTTCAGATAATTCTCATATTAAACTTTGAATTATCAAAAGTCAAGAAGGCGTTGTTTAATACTTGATTTCTATCTAGGACTTCCTTACAATCTATATTTGTGACCACATATTTAAGATAAGAGAAAGCGATCCCAGGATAACCTACGTCAACTATGTGAAAATGGATAAGATATCAAACTTTGTGGTAACAGTGATTAGTTTTTTTAGAATCAATTAAGAAACCAGTTCTTAGACTCAAAGGTTACATAAAAGGCTTTAGCTGACATTACGGTTTGAATCAAGTTTATATAATCTCAATGAATTTCTGATCTAATTGCTGTTATAAATTATAACATGAGCTTGCATACGCATGGATAATAGTTTTTTTCAATTGTTTTTTTGGACAAATCATTCACTTTTATCGCTATTAAGGTACTATATGCATCAATAAACTGATTGGCAAAGATAAGTTCCATTAAAGAGGATACACCAACATCTATCGAACAAACATTGTCCTTACAAATGGAATATAAACATAATAATGATAGATTGTAGGAAGATTGATTCCACGTTAGAAAATTGTTAT